AGAAGCAGGCTCCCTACTGAGTGAGGAGCCTGATGTGGGACTTGATCCCAGGACCCCGAGATCATGACCTGAGCTGAAGGCAGACGCTCACCTGACTGAACCACCTAGGTGTCCCTCAGCCTGACTTCCGAGGTAGTTTCGTCCCAAAGGAAGTATTGGTTCATGGTTCCTCATATAGGACATTAGTGTCCCTTCACTCCTTTTATGTTCCTTTCTTACAAATAGCCCGTACTCCCACAACATCTTGTGTTAAAAGACTGGTGCTGTCGAATGCTTGAGAGAAAGCTAGACTGTTGTCATTAAAGATGAGTTGTCTTCCTCTAGAACATCCCAGAAATTTTCAACATCTGATGAAGAATGCTAGGAGAATGAGAATGATCTGTGACCTTTAGTTGCACTGATAGTATCTGAGTAAGGAACTGTGTCTAAACCAGGAAGCCTAACAGTGTTGCAACTCCCACTACAAGGATAAGTTGATGGTGATAAATAAGAATTTTTGATCTGAAAAAAAAAAAAATTTTTTTTTGATCCGAAAGTTAAAAATGTCGACAAAGACATGCAGGAAGTGACTCTTTCCAATTCCCAAAATAATTTCACCCTTCTCTAAATACATTTTTGGTACCTCTCTCAGAACATTTTTTCTTTCTTTCTTTCTTTTTTTAAAAGTTTTTTTTTTGTTTTGTTTTTTTAAGATTTTATTTATTTGACAGAGAGAGAGAAAGAGCACATAAGATGAGGGAGCAGCCGCTTAACTGACTGAGCCACTCAGACACTGCTGGGACATTTTCTCTTTTTTAACCTTGTATTGGAGTTATTTATATCCATTTCTGATCTGCCCAATATATGAAACTGTAAAAGCATTGAGGGCAGGGACACCCACTGATTCATCTTTGAATCTCTTAGAGTGCCTGCTAAGAATGGATTCTTTTACAAAGGAGCCTGTGAATCTATATTTAATAGAGGAATTGGTGAGTTCTTGTGCAGCCCTTAGCCATGAGGACTAATACTTCTGTGAATGAATGCTGACAAGGTGTTCCTATGTGACTAAATACTTTGATTCACATTCCAGATTAAGGAGAAAGAAAAATGGGTATAGGGTGGAGAAGGTTGTATCAGTGCTTCAGACAAGGGTTTCCTCCACCTCCCATTCACAGTGACAGTGGCAGAAAGAGGACACTTTAAGAAGGTAGGAGACCCACCTCTAATTACCCAGAGGCTATATGATTACAGACAAGATGCTAGAACAAACTCTCTCCTCCTCCCTCATAAGAGGGATTGATGAGGTGATGAACTGTAGTTCCTTCTCATCACATTTGTCTTGTAGTCACCATTCTAGAACAATGAAGCTCTAATTATATGATGATTTAAGATCTTTATCTTCAAGTGGCTTGAAGTTCATATAGCCCCAGCATAGTAATTCTGTATCACCTACATGTGGATACCAATCTATAAGTAACAGCTTCCTTAAAAAAAAAAAAAAAAAAAAGAAGGATCTTATTTATTTGACAGAGAGAGGGAAAGGAGCACAAGCAGTGGGATTTGCAGGCAGAGGGAGAAGCAGGCTCCTTGCTGAGCAGGGAGCCTGATGTGGGGGTCCATTCCAGGACTCTAGGATCATGACCTGAGCTGAAGGTGGAGGCTTAACCGGCCGAGCCACCCCAGGCGTCCCCAGTAATAGCTTCTGGAAGCACTGTGTTGAGGAGGATTCTGAGGCCCTATTTGGACTCAGTAGGAAAGACAGCCTTGACTTAATAGTGATGTCTGGCATGAGGCAGGGAGGGGAGTAGCAAATAAGCCAAGCTATGTCACTGCTGATCTAATCCAATGCCTTCACTTCACAGGAAGAAAATGAGAAAACAGAGAATGGTGCTCTCAGAATCAGGAAGTGGTCATGATGGGAGGGACAGGAACCCAGGTAGTCTGACTTTAGAGGCCTCTGGACTTCCCCATCATGACATACTATTGCCATCAGCTTCCTTTACCATCTAAATATGTACACTTGAGAGACATCTGCTTACCAATTATGAATTTCAGAGGCTTAGAACATTCAGCCAACTCTGAAAAATTCCCACCGTGGTGGGTATGTTTCCAAAGAGAAAAAGTATTTGTTAACAGTTCAAAGAGGGTCTTCAGAAACTCCTACTATAGAACCATTGATCTCCCCCAGAGTAGACATTCGGGTCCTTGCTTTAAAATAAAACTCTGAGGAGAAAGCTAATTTAGGACATTAATGAGATTTTTCAAGAATAATTAGCTCTGCGTGGGATTCAGCTTTAATTTTTTTTCCTCTTGTTTTTGGGAGCTGGTGAGCCTGGAAGCTTATTTAGGAGAAGAGGAAATGAAACTATGAAAAGGCACAGTACAATTCCTTTTTTCCTTGGAGGCAAGGCACAATATGAATATGAATAACTCTCACATTCCGTCAAATTAACCGCTTCAAGTACAAATAGAAAAAACAAATAGACACACTTGGTTATTTGGAAGAAATTGAAGAAAAAGCCAAGAACGGTTTGCTAGTTTCAACAATAAAATCCTATGCAAATAACTTCCGTTAGGATTAAAGGCTTGTCTCACGCAGGAAAAAAAAAAACCAACCCCACAACAAACCAAACAATGCTAATGAAACAGGGTGAAGAGTGGGAGGTGGAGAGTGGAAATGAAAAAAAGAAAGAAAAAAGAGCTTGGAGGAGGAGGAAAGAGCGAGCTTCTCTCCTAGAGAAGAATTACCGAAAAATGGAAGGGTTGGGAAAACAAAGTCTGAGCTGCTCAGGCACTCCGGGCTGGGCGTGGGCAAGGTGCTTCCTTGAATTCATTTTGAGTGGTCCGGGCACCTCCCAGGCATGTTCCTCCAGCTGGCGTTCCTCGGGTGCGGGCGGGGTGACTGAAGAATTTTGGAGTCATTAGATTTTAGATCTTCTCCACTAAGTTTCTCCGTGTGTGCGACGCGGGCAGCTTTCAGTGAGTTCATTCTGCAGCATGTCCGGATCCTCCCGCCCTCGCTAAGCAGCCTGCCAGGTTCCAAACTGACAGTCCCAGACATTCCGCGACAGGGATGGTTCCAGAAAGTAGAAGATAGAACGCGATGAATTAAATGTGAATAGTGTGGCTCTGGCGGGAGACTTAGAAACCTCAATATGGGGCTAGCTGGGAGACTGGAAATGCCTCCCGTGCCACAAGTGATAGCGGCGCGTGAATTTAACATTTTGGAGCCTCTATTCTGTGTGGAGCACCAAGCCCAGCGAACCACATTCGTTGGGCAGCTGGGTCAGGTAGGTTAGCTGGATCTTTGGGGAGGTTAAATACCTTGCATATTCCATTTCCTTTGCTTGGAACGCCTTTCCGGATACTGAGGTGTGGTAGCTCCTTTCCCTGGTTCAGGAACCTGCACAGAAGCCACCTCCGCCAAGAGACCCTCAGAGCACTTTGAAACTCCCAATGCCTGCTTATGAAAACTCCGCATAGCAATTACCCCCGTGCTCATAGATCATCGCATTTACTCGTTTGTTTATATTTGTGTATGTTCTTGTTTATGGTGTGCTTCCCCTTAAAACCTCAGCTGCTTGAGAGCAGGAACCTGGTGTGCCATTATCACTGAAGCGGAGCCCGCATCTGTTCCAGGCGCACACAGTAGGCGCCGAGTAAAGGTTAATTTCCTTTCCACCCAGCCACCTGCGGCACTGGACACATCCGCAGTCTCCAAACTAGCCGCAGGTGATTAGCTGCTGCGTTCTTGGTAGGATCAAAGGAGGCGGAGGAGCGAGTGAGCAGTGAAGTCGGGTGGATTTCCTTGTCTCTCAAGGAGCTCCAGCAGTTTAATTTTAACTATGATGCTCTTTCTCCCTTCCCTCTTGCACACGAACAACCTAACAAAACGACCACACTCCCCTTAAGTCTTCTCCTGGCACCCCGGCACGAATCTGCACCCACTGCCTCTGGATGTTAGGGTCACTTTTTTTTTTTTTCTTAAAGGGAAACCATGAGCTTTTATTTTTTTTTTTAAGATTTTATTTATTTATTTGATAGACAGAGATCACAAGTATGCAGAGAGGCAGACAGAGAGAAGGGGAAGCAGGCTCCCTGCTGAGCAGAGAGTCCGATGCGGGGCTCGATCCCAGGACCCTGGGATCATGACCTGAGCCAAAGGCAGAGGCTTAACCCACTGAGCCACCCAGGCGCCCCTAGGGTCACAGTCTTGGGCGGGTGTCCCACGCCGATTCTGTCCGTCGCTACCCGATGCCTGCAACCCTCCCTTCACTACGTCCCCCTGCCCTCCTTTGCCTCTGACTTCCTCAAGAGGTCGAGTCCTCTTTGCCTGTTCGCACGTGTGTCCCCTGGAACCATCTCCTTAGACCAGTTCCTCCCGCGCCGCCCTCGCTTCTCCCTGTTCTCGTCCTCTTCCCTCCTTCCCGGGCCTGGCAACGCCACTCGAGGAACATTTATTAAGCTCCTACGGCAGGCGGGCTGTGCGCTAGCCTGCCAGTAGCTCCTTTGCGACGCTGCTGCAGCTCTCCTCTCCTACCCTCCCATCTGCCGGAAACCGGAGTTCCAACTGCCATGACAGCGTCATGGAATCCGCTCGCTCCTTCCCAGTGCGTCGCTCCACCTTCTTCCTCAGAGTCGACTCCTCATTGGTGAGAGTGTGGTCACTCAGCCGCTCTCCCCGCCCCCTCAAGTGGCTCCGCCCCCAGGGCGGCCACAGGCTCCTCCTCCTCGTCCCCGCCCCTAGTGCAGCTCCTCCCGCTACTCTACTGGCGGCGCGCGGCGAAGTTCTGGGCAAAGTACCGGGAACCGGCCGCGCGGCCGCAGCGCCTTCGAGCCAGGCAGCGCAGCGCAGGGGGGACCACAGCGCAAGGCGGCCGGTACGCGGCGCGGGCTCCGGCCCCGCTGTCCTTCCACGAGTGCCCGTCCCCGCCTCGGTCTCCTGCGGCTGGCACGGGGACTGTCTGCTGCGCCCTGGGGGGGGGGGGGGGGGACCGGAGAAGAGGGCTTTGCCTCCTCCCCGGTCTGTGGACGAAGCCCGGAGCCGCACACCAGAGAACTAGGCGGCGTCCCCGGCGGCGGAGCGTGCAGGTGAGCGCTGGGACGCCCGGCAGAATGGTTCTGGGGTGGTGGGGGCCAGGGGCGGTGCGCGCTCGCAAGGGCTGCGATGTGGGGGGCGCCACCAGTCGCCGTGCGAGCAGCGTCTGTCTCCTGTCGTCCAGGGAAGAACCGGCTCCTGGGGCAGCCCCGAGCAGGGGAGATGGCTATAGCGGCCGGCGCCAGGCTCCGGGGAAGTAGGACCGGGGTCCTGCTCTGAAGGGGACGGTTTGACCGGGACTGACGGTGAGAAGACGCCGAGCGCAGGAGCCTGAGTCCGGGCGCCCGAGGGTTGGGAGCGGAGAGGTTGTCCTGGGCAGCCAAGAGGCGCGGCGCCGGGGCGAGAGGCACAGGAAACCTGTGTAAACTGGGCCGAGCGCAAGGCTTTGCCACATCCGCGGGATGGGGCGTGCTTGCAGGCGCCCGCTCGCCTGCATCCCCTGGCTCGGATTGCCGGTTCTCCCCGCCAGGGGCACCCGCCCCTTGGGCGTCCCATCGCCCTAGGAAACGTTTGCAGCCTCTGGAGTCCCTGCAGGGCATTGTGGTAGATCGTCCAGATATTTATTTCTTACCGGGGCAAGCCGCCCTCCTTCGTTAATGCAACTTGCCGGCCACCTTGTGCACACTTGTACTCTTCCTTCTCCATCTCACAAAGCATCAGTCTCAGTCGGGACCCTGAGCTGCGGGGACTCTGAAGTTGTCGCTTTTGGCGTGTCTGGGAACTGTGCTAAGGTGCATCGGAGGCCCCCTCCATCACCCCCCTCCCTGATATTGCACTGACCCTCACAGTTTGAGAACTGGGTTGGGAGTTTATAAATATTTTAAGCTGCAGCTGCAAAAGAGATCCTAGCCTAACACAGGTAAAGATGTAGGCCTGACTTCTGATCATCCCCACTCTATATCTAAGCCTCATACAAGGTGAGGTTCCCCCTTCTGGCCAAGGGACACCAATCAGGCAGGCCTGGGCTGAAATGCACCCTAGCTAAATGACTATTTCAATTCTCCCCCTCACCCCCCAGCGTGCTGGCACTCACCGTTTTTGGTGTTCCTCATAGCACTCCTCTCTCTCAGAAATTATCTCCTTGGGCTGTTTACTGTCTGCCTTCCTCCACTAGAATGGAAGTTCCAGGAAAGCAAACACCTTATCTGTCAACAACAGTGCCTGACACACAATAGATATGCGAGAAAAAAATTATGAAATAAATAAGAACTTCTCTGTAAAATATGAAGAAAGGTGACTTCATACCTGGGTTTTATTTTCATGCTTATTTATCCGTTGTTTTTTTTTTTTTTTTTTCCTGTTGGGAAAATTAACAAATACCAGTAACTGCTATAGGTTGAGTACTTAATAAGAAATCGATATGTGCTAGAACTTTATATAGATTAGCTCATTAAACATTATCATAGTCTTGTTATTAGCTAGGTTTTTTTTTTTTTAAGATTTTATTTATTTGAGGGTGAGAGAGAGCATGAGGGGGAGAAGGTCAGAAGGAGAAGCAGACTCCCCATGGGGCAGGAAGCCTAATGCAGGACTTGATCCCCAGACTCTGGGATCATGACCAGAGCCAAAGGCAGTGGCTTAACCAGCTGAGCCACCCAGGCACCCCTATTAGCTAGGTATTTCTAAGCAGATGGGAAATTGAGGCTCTAGCAGGTTAGCCAATTTCCCCCAAGATTATCCTGGCAGAACTAAAATTCAAGTTCATTTTCTGTTGTGCTGGACCACTTCCAAGGAAGTAAAATATGGTTTTCACTATTATAACCAATAGACGTTTAGCCTTATTTGTAATAAAAACTATTGCTTAGTCAAAAGAATATTTGGTGCTTTATCATTATTGAGATACAGTTTCGATACTAGCTAGTAGTTACATTGTAGCTACACACTAGCAAGCTGCCCAACGTTGTGTTATCTCATTCAATCTTTACCATCTTATAGGCAGTGTTTTGAGGTTGTCTCCATTTTTCAGATCAAGAAACTGCAGCCTAGGTTCAAGAACTTGCCCCATCAATAGTAAATTGCTGAGCTTGATTTTGTTAATAGTCTTTCTGACTCTGAATCTTTAGCTCCTTCCACAATACGAAATCTCTCCTGCTCCCATAATTTAATTAGTTATTAACGATGGAGTCAATGATGCGTTAAAAGCATGTGAAGTTGGGCTGTAAATTTACCGCTGCTAGTATCAAGTGTCTAGTTGTATAGTTTTCTGAATTGTTGAGACTCTTATTGCCATTGATTTTTGTGGTTGAGTTTATGGTTTGTGGGCTTGGTAGATGGGGGACTTTTAATAAGGAGGAAAGGAAATAATTTCACTTACATTGAAACTTTTACCGAAATCTAAAGAGAAATTGGTTGGGTTTTACCCATTATGGTAAATGAATTCTGAATGCAGTAATGCTATATGCCTCTTAAGGAAAGTTCTGGAAAGCCAGCTAGTTGTTCTTTTTCCATATGTAGAACTGAGGAGAATCTGAAACCACAGCTAATTCTAAATGCTTCTGCAGCAGCCTTTTAGTAAAATAACTATGTTTCAGCTCTTTATATTCTTGTAGGAAACTGAGGGCAAGGAGAAGTTAAATAAGAATTTCATGTTTACCACCTAAAGGGCTAATGGCAAAATAGAGGTGGAAAGGAATTTGTGATCCTTTTTTCCCCCTACTTCTATTCCAGTTTTAGGGGGTAGTATAACGTTTTTCCCTTACACGAGGGTCTGAATAATCCAGTTTTATTTATAATGTGCTTTTTGGAAGTGCTATGTTTTTAAGTTGTTAATTCCATTTCAGGAGTACTCCAGGGAGGGTTGGGGAGCCCTCCAACCTAGAATACCCACAGAAGTAATGGGAGTGTGTGTACAAAGGAGGCTGGAAGCTATTCAGCTGAAAGAGCCTTCCATGGATAATTGAGAGTTGTTTGTAGTTCCCTGTGAATTTCTCTTCTGTCTGCATCTTATTCATCAGCTTTTGAGCTCTCTCATCTGGAAAATTCCCTCTTGAGTTCCCAATCACTAGTGTTCAGGCCACCCTCATGCATCCCCAGTTCTTGGCACTCTCCTCCTCAGCACCTTTCATATCGATCCTTTCCTGTTGCCCCTGCACCATGATCGCTACGGGGTCTTAGGGACTTCTGCACGCTGTGCTAACGTTATTTACAGGTGGATGCTCCTCCCTCAGGATCTCCTATACATTACAGTCAGGTGAATTCTTTAAGTGCTGTCATTATGTTGTTCAGAGTTCCTGAGTGGCTTATATAGTTAATAATAATTAATAAATTAATAAAAATTAATAAAATTAATAAAAGCAGTGCTGCCACACTTCTTGTGCCGTACTGTCCTGTGTGCTGTAGATGAGTTATTCCTTTAATCCTCAGAGCAACACCAGAATAGGCACTGTGATTATTTTTTAGGTACTGTCATTTTTAAAGATTTTATTTATTTATGAAGGAGAGAGGGAGAGAGGAAAAAAGCATGTGTTTGGAGGAGGGCCAGAGGGAGAGGGACAAGCAGACATCCCTCCTCCCCCACCGCCGGTGAGCCTGATGTGGGCCTCCATCCCACGACCCCGGGATCATGACCTGAGCCGAAGGCAGATGCATAACTGATTGAGCCACCCAGGTGCCCCGAGTAGGCACTATTTTTATACCCAGGTGAGGGTAGGATAAATAGTACTCCAGATGAGGCTGCTTTACAGCTAAGACTAGATGGATCTGAGACTGAAACCCCAGGTCCTTTCTGTCCCCATTTGAACCTGGAGCCCTTAGCCTAGAATCAGGATCTGGCAGCCTGGGCTCAGTGCCCACCTTCACCCTTCGTTCCCCAGTCCTGTGCACAGGCAGCCTGAACTTTCTTCAGCAATGGAGCATTTTGCCTTTGCGCCTACACTCCTGTTGCCTAGAAAGCTCTTTCACTCTCTCTTACTGTGAAAAACCCAAGTCTTTCAAGGCTGAACTCATAAGCCACTTCTGCCAGAATAATCTCCTTGAACTCAATCTCTTACAGCATTAAAAAAAAAAAAAAAAAAAAAAGTGTGAGTCCCCAGTTCAGTTTCTGACCTTTGAGTATGTGGATTTCTTTCTTTAGCACTCTGTTCCTTTCATTCCTCCCCCCAATTCTTTTTTTTTTTTAATATTTTATTTGTTTATTTGACAGACCGATCACAAGTAGGCAGAGGTGGGGGAAAGCAGGCTCCCCGCCGAGCAGAGAGCCCAATGTGGGGCTCGATCCCAGGACCCTGGGATCATGACCTGAGCTAAAGGCAGAGGCTTAACCCACTGAGCCACCCAGGCACCCCAGCACTTCATTCTTTTTATTGCCTACCACCTCCTCGATGTACTTAATACCATGTTTTATTTATCCATTTGCCCTTTGATGGGACTGGTCTTGCTTAGTAAAGCCTCCTTGAGTGGTCCTAATGTGCAGTCAGGAACTAAACCACAAGTCCCTTCAGTCTTGTTTATTGTCCTGTCTTGGGGCTAGAGCAGTGTTTGGCACAAGATAGATGTGTAAGAAACATGTGAGTGAAAGGAGCATTTTACTAAAAGTATAGCTCCTGTTACATCAGTGTCCTCAAACAATGTCATTAAGAAGTGATCCTTGTGGGGCACCTGGGTGGCTCAGTGGGTTAAAGCCTCTGCCTTCGGCTCAGGTCATGATCCCAGGTTTCTGGGATCGAGGCCTGCATCGGGCTCTCTGCTCAGCAGGGAGCCTGCTTCTCCCTCTCTCTGCCTGCCTCTCTGCCTACTTGTGATCTCTGTCTGTCAAATAAATAAATAAAATCTTAAAAAAAAAAAGCGATCCTTGTGATTGATTGATTAGATCCCAATCTGAGCAACTGTACAACTGCTAAAAAAGAAGATAAGAAAATTTGAACATGGATGCAATGTTACAATTCTTTAAGCATTTGCTTTGGAATAATCTGCAGTTAGGCAGGGAGTTTAGAGGGAACCAGTAGTGATGACTGAAGCTGGGTGATGAATTCATGGGGTTTTTTAATACTGTTCT